AGTTTTCACATGGAGCATTAATAGTCCCTTTTGTTTGTAATATAGGTGCACTTTTGGTTCTCCCCTAAACTTTTGTCTATTTTTTAATATTAATTTTGTTCATAATTTTATGTAAGGAATGTCCCATTGTCTTTTTTTATATTTAGTAGAAATAACAACTCTATGTGAGAGAATATGAGAAGAAGAACACATAGTTCTGTTCCGTATAAATATTACTGCAGCTAAACTAAGAACATTTTAACATATGACATTGCAAGAAAAGAAAAATTTGTACTATTGCACGTGAAATCGTCGTGACGAACCTCTCGACTTTACCTGCAATACAATTTCTACTAAACAAAACAAGGTGTTTTTCTTCTCACAATCTCTCACATGGAATTATTATTTCTACTAAATATATAAAATGACAATTAAATATTTCATACAAAATCAATGTTAAAAAATAGGTAAAATTTTGAAGGAGGACCAAAAATGCACCAATATTGCAAACATGAGGGACTATTAATGCTCCATGTGAAAACTCAAGGATGACTTTGAGTCTTAACCCAAAGATGAAGGACTATTTTGGGGCCTTTTCTCTTATTTCTCTTATAATTGAGAAATTCTCGAAAGTAAATGAGGCATGGTTCAAAATTTTGTGGATAATAATCTTTAATTTCAGCTTGATTCTTTTTTATTTAAATAAGACATGGTCAAAAAATATATATCATATATTACGCTTTTATTACTAGATCAATATTTGAGGCTTACGAATGTGATATCCTTTACTATTTATGTAAGTGTTCATGGTACAAAACTAGATTGAAAATGGAAATGAATAATATTTGTTGCTCTTTCAAATTATAATAAAATAAAATATGACAACTAATATAGGAGGAAGAAAATATATCTCAATAAATAAATATTACTATCACTCCACACAAAATATTACATACTTTTTTTTTTCAGTACTTCATATGGAAGGACAAAAGCAGAAATTTATAGTCAATAAATAACTGCTGCCTCTCTGGTTAGAACATAGAACATGTCTTGACTCCACCCCCACCCACCACAAACCAAAAAAACAAATAAAATAAAAAAGTTAGAACAAAAAATAAAGTAAAATCTATTTGAATAAGTTATACACTACTTGTATCTATAAAAAATAACAAATATTTAATAAAATAATCGAAACATAAATAAATTGTTCAACAAAATACCATCATAAATACAAAAAAAAAAAAAAATAGAAAGCCTCATATTTACTAGAAGAAAAAAATGTTTTTTTTTTCAATTCACATTGAGAGAATAAAATAAAAATTACTACCTAGTAAGAACTTAGTTCCTGACCACCCCTGCCACCATTCCAATACTAATACTAATACTAATAATAATAATAATAATTTCATCGTTCATTTCATATCATTATATCATCATTCTAAAATAATAAAAATAAAATTTGTTAATAAAATAAATGCATGTAACCTGATCTGAACATCGCCGTTATAAAAAAAGAAAAAAAAGAGAACCCTTACTATAGTTCTATTTTCTCTCTTTACTTCTTTCCTTCTTCTTCTGTTGTTGTTGTCGTCGTCGTCGTCTTAACTTCTTCTTTAGCTGGCGGTGGTGGTGATGGTGATGGTTGTGAAGTATTAGGGATACCACCATCAATACAACTTCTACATTTTCTTTCAACCCATCCTTCAATATCATCTTCACCATTACCACTAAAATGTCTACCACCACAAAGCCTAGCAATAATACTAGCAATAACACCAACTATTGTTATTACTGCTAGTACAAGTAGCAATGTCTCTATAGATTTATATGTATTACTACTTGAAGAAGATGATGAATAGTAATTAGTGTTTTGTTGATCCACTACTAGTGGTGGTAACTCTTTCTCATTCTCCATATTATTTTTTTGGTGTAGGGTGGGGTGGGGGTGTTCAAGTTCTTGAAGGTGTACAAAAAGATGGTGGAAATATTGAGTTTGATGAAGAGGAGTGTTGGGTAGTAGTTAGAGAGTTTAAAGTGTTGAAAGTGGGGTTTTGAAGTATGTGTTTGGTGATGAGAGAAAGTGAAAATTTTGTGGGTGAAAGAAAGTGTAGTTGAGGTTTGAGTTGGAAAAAGAAATATATAATGACTTATATGTGTGTATATATACACATTGTGTTAAAAGAATATATATTATTTATTAGAATAGAAGGCTAATAAGAGGGGAGATAAGGGGCTAGTCTCCTCCTTTCTTATTGTTACGTGTTGCTTCACTGGTTATGTTTATCTTGTCAATTGTTGTCGTTATTTTTTTTTCTAGCACGTTTTGATAATGTATCATTGTGTCAAGTATATATTGAAAATAAGTAGTTTTTTTCACACAAATAGGAGTAAGGTCTGTGTTTATTCTACTCTTTGCAATTTCTCTACTTATAAAATTCATACTAAATATATTATTATTATTTATTTAATTTTTTTTTGGAACCCCATGATAACCCACAGTCGTTACAATCTCTGTCACAGCATCTGCCCTTCGGGTGAGCACTTTGTGTGCACTGAGTAAACCCTTCATTGTCAAAGGCGAATCCAGGATTTTAAGAAAACGGGTGCACCATTGCTTTAAAGATAATATCAAAAAATTTATAATAACAATAACTAAGCGAGCAATACATAAAAATTACA